CTCTCTCAGGCCCTGCCCCTCTCCGGCCCCGCCCCTCTCTCAGCCCCTGCCCCTCTCAGGCCCTCCCTTGTCCTCTTTACCTCCCTTGTTGGTACTCTGGAGGAGAAAAAGCACTATGAGTTGCTTGTTTCCAATCAGCGGCAGGGAGACCGAACCTAGATCGCTTCCTGCCCACACTGTGTCCCTTTGCTACTTGTTGCAGATCGCGTGGTGTCCCTGTCCTGCCTCAGATGTAACTGGCTTTGGGAGAGGGGAGACTCAACCCCTTAACCTTCCTGAGCCCCAATTTCCACGTCTGAATACCCCAAGACAGTACTACCCACCTCGTTTCTGAGCTCGGTGGGCACAGGTGCTGCTGCTGGCATGGATGGGTGCTCAGTGAGTGTGAACCTCACACCCCTAGGCCCTGCTTCCAATCCAGGGCTGGGGAGCAGGTTTAACCACTTATTTCCAACAGGAAGCTCTGCCTGCACCCTGCTGGCAGGGCCGCCAGAGCCCACCCTGACCACACGACTCCTGCTCACCTAAGCTCAGTAGGACCCAGGGTCCAGGACCCAGAGCAGGACCCCAGACCCAGCTGTCCCAGCTCCATTTGCGGAAGGTGGTCCACGGCTCACCAGCCAGTGAGAGGAGGCAGAGCTGGCCCAGACCACCCAGATGGGGCTGTGCCAGGGGCAGCAGCTGGGGGCAGGGGGGTGCTCTTCTTGTCAGGTGGAGCAGTGACAGGGTCACTGGTGGTGACCTGCCCCCAAGAGGGCCTGAGGGAAGGACCTTCCCAAGGTGAATAGGATGTGGCTCAAGCCTGGCTCTGCCTCTAACCCACCAGCAGGGGCAGCACTCAGCACCTCTGGATACAGGGCTGGACACCAGACAATTGCAGGCTGTGGCCTTCTGTGATGGGCTGACCTGTATTCCCAGAGTCCGTATGTGGAAGTCCTAACCCCAGGACCCCTTATGTGTCCTTACTTGGAAACAGGGTTATTGCCATAAATCCTTAAGATGAGGTCGTACTGGAATAAGGGGAGCGGGGGGTGTCCCTGTGAAAGGGGGAATGGGGACACAGACAGAGTATGGAGGCAGAGATGGTGATGTCCCACCCGCCAAGGAGCACCGAGATTGCAGGAAACCACCAGAAGCCGGAGAGGCCTGGGGCAGCTTCTCTCCGGCCCCGGGGGAACCAGCCCTGCCCTCGCCTCACCTCAGGCCTCCAGGCTCCAGACCGTGGGACATGTCTGTTGTTTGACACTTTGTTAGGGCATCCCTGAAACTCAACGTCTTCTGTCCCTAGAGAGATGAAGACGCAGACGATTTTATGTTTCTACGTCTCCTCATTATGAAAGTTTTCAAACATATGAGAACGTTTGAAAGTGATTACAGTGACCCTCACATGCCCGTCCCTTCGCTTCCACAGTAATTACTGTGTTTACTCTCACCCCCTTCTCTCTGCCCTTGGGAAGGAAGCTGCGGACAGACGTCACGACATTCCCCCTACATAGCTCAGCACATTTCTCCCCCAGATAAGAACCATCTCGCACGTAATCACAAGATGACTAGCACCCTGCAAATTTTAATAGTTCCGTAATGTCATCTAGTGTGTCGTCAAAGATCCCCAAGGTTGCCAGGAAGTCTTCGTCATCTTTTTTTGTAGGCTCCAGTCTACAGCCACACTTGCAGTTCGTTATTTCTCTGTAGTGCCTGCTCTTTTTATTGGTTGTGACATTGACTTTCCGTCTTGTAGGATGATCTACGCAGGCGATGGTTCCCTGTGGTGTTGTTATCCTGCTCTTCTGTCCCGTGTTCCCCACCCTGAGAGGTGGATTCAGTCACTCCCTGTGGGCATGGGTGCTCCCCATGCTTTCTGAGGCATCGTGTCTGATGCTCTGACAAATGCCAGGTCCGACTGTTTATTTGCGGAAGATTTTCCAATTATAAGGGTTTTCTGTGCAACCACAGCGGTCCCTAGCCCAGTTTCCCAAAGAGCTCAGCCCCTGTCCCTCTCTGAGCCCCCAGCAATGTGAGCACACTAACATTCTCGCCAGTGGCAGCAATTACATTATGGACGGCACGTGGTGACTCTCCAGCGCCTTCAACACGTGCTCGCCAGAGTCTTCAAGAGGAGACATTTCTTTCTTTTCTTTTTTTTCAACACCTTACAGATACTTTTTAAAATATGTTTTTATTTAATTCAGTGAGAGAGGCAGAGAGAGAGAGAGAAAAACATCTATGAGAGAGAAGCATGGATTGACTGCCTCCTGCATACCCCCTACTGAGCATGGAGCCTGCAACCCAGGCATGTGCCCTGACCGGGAATCAAACATGCGGCCTCTCAGTGCATGGGGCAATGCTCAACCAACTGAGCCACATTGGCCTGGGCTGGGCCAGATAATTTTTGATTCTCAAATTGTCCTAAGTTTAAGTAGTAAATAAATTTTATAAGAAGCATGGGTCCCTGGGTCACCCCTCTGGGCAAAGGGGGCTCTTCCAGGGGAGTCAATAGAAACAGGTCAGCAGGGTTGCTCCGAGGTGCCACTTACCAACCTCTCTGCATCTCCTGCCTCCACCACGTGTGTGCGCACACGCGCACGCACACACACACACACACACACACACACACACACACACCAGCTCTGAGAGAACCCAGGTCCACACCCAGGCTAAGAAGGGTTGGAGAAGATTCCTGGGCTGCATGCAGTCAGTGGGCTCACAGACTGGCCTCCCCGGGACCCAGTGAAGTACTTGAACCGTTTATCCTGAAGCATCTGAGCAATGAATGCCTGCCCATCCCATCGCCACCCCCACTTTGTGCTCCAGGACCACTGCCCCTCCAAGTTCTGGGAAGGACTGAGCTGAGGTGGGTGAGCACTGGCACAGAGAGCCTTCCGTAATTGTGTCAGCCATAGTGGAGGCTGTTTCTGGCCTTTTTCTTTAACTAAGAAGGGTTGGAGCAGCTTCCTGGGCTGCGTGCAGTCAGTGGGCTCACACTGGCCTCCCGGGACCCAGTGAAGTTCTGGAACCGTTTATCCTGAAGCAACGAATGCCTGCCTGCCCCATCACCACCCTCCGCCCCCCCTTTGTGCTCCAGGACCACTGCCCCCCTCCCCACTCCACAAGTTCTGGGAAGGGCTGAGAGGGGGAGGGTGAGCACTGGCACAGAGAGCCTTCCATAATTGTATCAGCCATAGTGGAGGCTGTTTCTGGCCTTTTTCTTTAGATTTCGGGGGTGGGGGAGAATAGTTCCTATCTTTTTGTTGGACACACATTTGTTGAGCACCTAGTGTGTGTGTCAGACACTGTACCAGGCACTGGACAACCCCGAGAAGGAAGAACAGACAGAACCTCTGCCCTCACAGCAGTCCTCCACCATGCCTGAATAGTGGGTTCACCAGGGAGGCCTCAAAGCAGAGCTGCAAACCAATTTAACGAAAGCCTCAGTTGGGCAAGGGGTGCTGCTTGCCGGGCTGCCAGGTGATCCCAATGCAGGGTTGAGTCCCACCTGCCTCTTGAGGAACAGGAGAGGGGAAGGGAAGATCACATCCCAGGTGATGGAGAACCCGGGCCCCAGACCACAATGCATCCCAGCCACTGGCGGGGGGGCCTGGTGGAAATGAGTCCAAGGCCGTTTTAATAATAGATTCTAGCACAGCAATGCTAGTTTGACAAGACGGGAGTAAAATAGACATCGATGTAAGGGCATCCTATCAATGTCATCCTTACTTCCATACTTCTGTCCCATCTATCAAAGCATCAGAAATTCCTCTGAACGCCTTGCCTTTAGGAGTGAAGACTCAGGACCTGGGAGCAGCCTGGTTGGTCTTAACACATTGCAGATGGATCACGAGAATTCTCATGTTTTCTGTTCTAAGGCTTGTGACCAATCACGAGAATTCTTTAAAGATATATTAGTCTGTAAGAACATGTAATAAATAACTTCAAAATGCAATGGGTATTTAATTTTAAAGCGTGCCTTTAACATTTATGTAAAACGTTTTTTGTACTCATTCAATAGAAACTTATCTGGCCACTGGGTAAAGCTAGCAATAAAACTACTGGTCCGTTAAGTGATGGTAGATCGCCATCTAGTGTCCAGAGGAGCAGAGGGAATAATCTTGTGAAAAACTGTCCAACTTTACTACATACAGTTAGAAACTGCAACACATATTGGAATAAGTTGTCAGATTTCACCTGTGAAATTATCTTTAAAAAACATTGTCTAAGGTAGCCCTGGCCAGTGTTGCTTGGTGGTTGAGTGTCGACCCAAGAGGTCACCAAGATTACCGGTCAGGGCACATGCCCAGCCAGGTTGTGGGCTTGATCCCCCGCAATAGGCAACCAGTCGATATTGTGGATGTTTCTCTCTCATCAATGTCTCTCTCTCTCTCTCTCAAAATCAATAAAAACATATTTAAAAACAAACCACCAAGGTATCAGGCCCTTTTCTTTATCTATCCCTTAGCTTTTCTCAAAGGTCATGACAAGAAAGCGCCTTGGGGCATCTGCTCTGATTTTGTCTAGAAAGGTCCCATGGAGTGTCTGTTAGAATAAGCACCAGGGCAGTCTGAATGGCGGGACACCTGGGCTGTTTCCATCTCCCCAGGACAGAAGCTGGGTCTTCCAGGAGCCCACTCCCTGCCATTAGGATAACGCCCGCCCAGGTGTGATGATGCAGAGACTCAGGCACCTGGCTGATGGGTGAGCGAGGGAGCAGTAGCCAGAACTTAGGAGGGAGGCTGTGACCTTTGGCAGGGACACAGCCATGCTGTGGTGACCTCTCTGAGATGGAGCCTAGACAATGCTAGGCCTCCGTGGCGTGATCAGCCCCCTAGACAATGCCAGGCCTCCATGGCATGATCAGCCCCCTAGACAATGCCAGGCCTCCATGGTGTGATCAGCCCCCTAGACAATGCCAGGCCTCCATGGCATGATCAGCCCCTGCCAGGGCCCATCACCAGCCGAGCCGCACGTGCGACCCAGGCCCAGGGGCCGGGCCGATGTCTCTACAAAGGGTGGATGAGAGCAGAGAGCAGACAGGAGGGGCCCCTAGAAATGCTGGTGCCCTTTAAATGCCAGGAAGTTCAAAGCCAACAGGATCGGAAGTTTTCCGTGTGTCCCTCTGTCCATTCTTACCATCAGTGTAGCGAAGTCACCCTTTTCAGATGGTAACAACATCTTGTTTAAGATTCCAAACCTGCTTATCCTAGTCCCAGAGGCAAAGATGAAAACCAACATCAACCCCCCAAAACAGCCCCTCTGACAACTCCCCCTGCCACTGGGGCTCACCTCCCACAGCGACCTCCTGGCCTCTGTGAAGGGGGACAGGCAGTGATGAGGCTGGTGTGCCTGTGTCACCATTGGAGAGCTGTCCTGTGCCACCTTTGTCACTGCCTGCTGCCTGACCTGCCTCCTGAGTCCCTCACCACGAGCCCCCAAGGACGTGGGAGGCAAAACCCCCACCTTGCAAATGCACCAGAGACAAGGTTATAGAAAGCAGTTTAATTTTTTTAGAAAACCGCCACTCCATTTCCCCTGGCACTGCCACCTCCCGCTGTGCCTGCTCCGTCCTCTCCCAACTCCCAGAAGCAGGTGGGCCTTGCCCAACACCAGGTCCCTGTTCCCTCTGACCCGTTTCATTCCTCAGAGGCGGGAGCAGCAGGGTGGATGGGCAGCCAGGCTGGGCAGGTGCACCCGGCCTGAGCACTGGGACTCAGTCTGTGTCTGGGTGCAGGCGGTGAGGCCATGGACACCGGTCCTCTCCTGAATGACTTCCACGGGCTTTGGGAAGTGGTTCTTCGGAGAGATGCCAGTTTCCGGGCACCCCCGGGAACTCGCCAGTGTGAATGGAGAATCAGAGTCAAGTACCGCCGTCCACGTGGCACTTGGGTCAGGCTGAGGGCTCCTCCTCAAGACTCCCCTGGAGTGGCTGTGGCTGCCTCTAGCGGGCACAGCACTTGGCCCGCCCCGTGGGCCCCTGGTTTAGGGCCAGCCGGGCACCTCCCCGCCGTGTCTGGTCCTCCTTCCTCTCCGCCCTCTGCAGCAGCTCTCGAGCTGTGAGCACAGACAGAGCGGGTGGTGGGATGAGGGAGCCCCCAGCTCTGCACAGCCCTGCACATCACAGTCCTGGGGCCCCACCCCTCGCTGACATTCACCTGGAGCCATGAAGCTCGGCCCGACTCTCCCGCTCACCTTCCCGTCCCTAGTGACATCCTGTTGGGTCCAGGACGCCAGAAAAGAAGGCCCGATGAGGCAGAGCCCGTGATGGCCCCACCCCCGGGCTCCCTGGGGCCCTCACTCACCAATGGCGCTGAAGGCCTCGGTCACCTGGTGGTTGAGTCTGGCCGAGGTCTCCATGAACAGCAAGCTCTGGCTCTCTGCAAACTCCTTGCCTTCCTGAGGAAACAGCCACAAACCCGCAGCACTCACTCACAAAGCTTTCCCTAAGATGCTAGCCGACACCTTCTCTCTTCACCTATTCAACACCACACGTGGCTCGGTCACCATTGCCATTTGGGGGGTTTGGTTTGGTTTTGTCTCCAGCTTGTGTGAGGCCTAAGTGAGCCTCCTAGCAGAAACCCCCCAGCAGGCACAGCCCTGGAGCTGACTCCGTGCTGTGCACTGGTGCTCCTGGACGGGGCCTGCCCAGGACTCGGGTCACAAGGGCTGGGGGCTCCCCATACAGGCCCCTGCCCACATCTCCCACAGCTCTTACTCCTCCAGGGTGGGTGCTTTTAGAAGAATGACAGCTGTTTAAATTTTCTATCCTTGCTCAGTTCCTAGCAAAGAACATTGACTTCTTTGTCTGAGCCTTCTTCACGAATGTATTAGACACAAGGAAAAATTCCGAAAACCCACATCTCTCAGAGTGGGTGGGTGTGGGGGGTGTGGGTGTGTGCAGGCAAACACGAGTGTATGCGTGAATGTGCGTGTGTGTACCTGTGGATGTACATGTGAGAATGTGTGTATGCATACGTGTGGGTGGCTGTGCATGTGAGTGGAGGGGGGGGGGTTCAGGGTCACTCCTTTCTCCTCCTGGTGACATAATGACCTGTCCCCAGTTTTACCTCGAAGGTCACCTCCCGCTCCTCGCTGAGGTCCGTCTTGTTGCCGACCAGCATCACCACGACTTCTCCAGGGAGGAACTCCCGCTCCAGGTCCTTCAGCCACTGCTGAGCCTTGCGGAAGGAATCCTCAAAAAGGAAAAAAGAACCTCAGACAAATCTTATGGGCAGTCTTCATCAGCTATCCCGGGAAAGGAAAGCAGGTGTCCATGCCACATTGTATAAAGCATGCTATGATCCTATTGACCATATGACAGCCCCACCCCTCCACCCCC